AACTTCCAACTTTCCTTTTTCGTCCGTTCCAATTAAAACTTCCACTTTCCCTTTTTGGTAAAGAATTTGTGGTTCACAACATTTCTTACACATTTCTTTCTCCTCTTCACAACTCTCCACCACACAATATCAACTATCTTAAACTTTGTGCCAACCCCATTTGGAAGTTAAAATGGGAACGGAGGTAGTATCATATTTGAGTATAATAAAGTAAAATGTTGTAGGCCACGTATTTCTATCCTGAAGATGAAATGTGAGATTTATACTTCCCATTTTATTAATAGTGTGACATTTTTTTTACTATATGGACATTGTATTACAAAAATTATATGACTCACCTCTAAAAATATTATCTCATGGAAGGCAATTCATATAATATATGTGTGACTTTAGCAAGTTTGACATTATTTTAACATTTTTTTTTTAAGATTGTCATTGTTTAAACACAGTAACATTTTTAATAAAATGTGATATTTTATACATAGTACTTTTTACTGTCACCTGTAAAAATCTTATTTCCTAGAATGACATTAATATTTAAATTTCACATTCTACATATAGTGTGACATTTTTAATTGATTTGCTTTCACTTTTAGACCAGACCATATTTAAATACAATAAAAAAATATAAATAAGGTAAAGGGTTTTAATTAAGAATTCTTTTAGTCTTTAGAAATGTACATTTTGTTTTAATCCCTGCAAATGATTTTGCTTAAAAGTAATATTTTTATCTTTTATTTTATTTTGATCATATATTATAAATTTTTTACTACTTTTGTCCCTCTAATATTGGAATGGAAGAGAGTGATGTTATTTTTAAGAAAAATTGAATTATGTGGTTGATAATGAGTTGATAGTGAAATTAAAGTAAAAATGAATTAGAGTCACATAAATATTACCAAATATAGAATGAAACAAATTTAGTGGGACAGAAGAAAATAAGAAAAATGAGACAATTATAGTGGGACAGAAGAAGTATTTATTTAATACCGAATAATCCATATCAAGGTTGGAAATAGAAATGTTGCTTAATAAACCTTCAATTTTTTTTAAATTTTTTATATATGCAATATTGATGTCAAATGATAGATCTTGAAAAATTATAAAATTTGATATATTTTTTGTAAAAATCGAAATAAAAAAGAAAAAGCTATAACATTTTAAAGAAAAAAGAGATTTTTATACCTTGGACCCACTAATTGCATTTCTTTTTAGTTGGCCGTGCTTCCTTGGGTGCTTGGGTATGGACACGTGGCAGCTGTATAATAACGGAGTCATATTTGGGTTGAAGGACACGTGTGCTTTTTTATGGATAAAATTGTCATTTTATGAGCTATTTCTTTTCTTATATATAAATAGATAGATGTATTGGTGCAACTCTGGATGATTTTACTTAGACCGTAATTCCTCCCAGACCAGATCAGACCAAACCAGACCAGTTCAGATCAGACCAGATCAGATCGGTTCAGACCAGACTAGACTTGGATAGTTATAAAAATACAAAGAAATCAGACCAGATCAGACCAGTTCAGACCAGACCAGACAAACAAATTACAGTCCAAGTAAAAACATCCTCAGGGGCGCAGCCAGAAGTAAGAGTTGGGCTGAGTTAGTACAAAAAAAATTTAGAGATAAATTTTTACAAATAAATTTTTACATTAAAAATATAAGTAATTTTAAAAATTGGACTGGGCCAGGACCCGGTTGGCCACCCCTCCAACTCTGCCCCTAGGTGGAAGCCTATTCATTGCCAAATGTATTGAAGAAATCATAAAATAGGAGTTTCACATTTTAATTTTTTTTAATAAGCATCTATTAAATAGAGTTTGAAGAAATTAATATATTGTGATCAGATTAAGAGAAGAGTCACCACATGGTACTGACTACATAACAGTCAACGTATAGTCAGCACTTTTCTGGTAGTTATAAAACTTAACTCAAAATCGTAATAACTCACTAATCTCAAAACAGTAAAGAGTCGTAGAGTTATCTATGATTAGACATAGCCTCAATCGCCCTTATACAAAGACAATAACTCGCTAATCTCAAAACGGGCAATTTGAAGTCCATAGTAACTAAATTGACGTTCTAGTAGCCCACCCGCAGTCCATTGTAACAAACTCGAACACAAAATAATAGTAAAAAGCACGCACAGTCTAAAAACTATGTGAAAAAGCAAATAAAAATGGAATGACAGATAACTACTCTACGAAATACTTGGTGGGCATGTCGTTCGGAGCCCGCCCCTACCCCGTTTTCCCTCCAATTATGTCATCGTCTCTTTGTCCCCCATTTCTTCCTCCCCCTTCTACTTGCTTCCCAAAAGTATTGAGTTCACCTCTATGGCTCGAAGTCCTCAAGTGTATATCCCTTGCAAAACTATGGCGCCTGTCAGGACCGATCTCGGACCTCCACGAACAGGCAAAACTCTTGAGCATAATCTCTTTTGTCGCTAAATCACCATTCACTTTCTTCAAAATATCTCCCCAAATGCTTTGGCAACAAAAGCATCCCTAGCCGGTTCTTGAACCAGTGAACCGCCCTGGGTCAGCCACCACCTACGTGAGGCGGCCGTGACTACTGACTCCAAACCATCCCACCGCCTTACTGTGGCACCCAAATTCCGAACCTGAGTCCTGCGAAACCACAAAGACTGCCCTGCCCTAAAGCCAAGGCCTAAAAACCAAAAAAAACTCAAATTAACATATTTTGTAAATTAGAACACAAAATCTTTTGAAAACTGTAACAAAAAAAAAAAGAGACCTAAAATAATACTCCATACGTACTAGTACCGAATGATATCAGGAGTATGAAGAGGGCAACGTGGGACCTTTTCCTAATTTAAAATTCTTTAAATTGTGTAATTTCCACCAAAGTGACCAAACCGCATAATATTAGAAAATATGGAAATGTAGGAAGAATACATTAAAAAAGTAGGAAGAACAGTAAAGTCATGATATTCTATTTCAACATAAGAGTCTTTGCAAAAGATGAGATGATCCAAACCTCAAGTAGTCAAGTCGAAGACCTCCTTTTTTTCCAAAATAAAGAGTACCAATAACAACAATAATTTAATAATAACCGACTGTTTTTACTTGATTTCAGTTTCAGGCAGATTGGATCAGACCAAACTAGATCAGTCTTGGATATTTATAAAATACACAGGAACCAAACATTACCAGACCGGACCAGACCACTTCAGATCAGATCAGACCTGTCGACCAAATCAAATCAGACCAAATCAGATAAGATCAAAAAATGTGAGTCCAAGTAAAAACATTCTTTATCATTCTGATTTATTTTGTAAACGTGCTTTTAAATTTTTTATCATGGGACTATGGGAGGACGTAATATTTTATCCTAAAGCTAATCAGACGTCTTTATTTGGTACATTTGATAATAATTATTGTATATGAACGGGTCATATAGGGAGAACGGACTTGTTTGAAGCCTACTTAGATTCTAATAGGTAGGACTAAAAAATGGGATTTTCCCTAATTATGATCACTTGCTACCAAACGCGGTCGCTGACTTTCATTAAAAGGCCTTCAGGGCGGCGTACTATCAGCGTGTCTTTCCCGAAACGGTCAAAAAAGTCGATTCATCACCCCAACATTTTCAAACTACTTGGCCTTGAGTTTACACTATATTCACAATTCATAACTATTACCTCCGTCATTTTACATTTTCGTGAAATCCCACTAAAATTGTCTCATCCCAAATTTGGTAAAGATTGTGTGGTTTTAAATCATTCTTACTTTATTCTTACTTTATCGATTTAATATCAACCACACAAACCTACTTTTCTTAATAATCGTGCCGCATTCTCTCGTCTCAATCTTAAAGGGACGGAGGTAGTACATGATTACTTCTGCTACTATTCAACAAAATCACATTCTTTTGATTTATTTTTACTTCTTTTATAATTTTATCATATTTAATATTTAAATTATTTTAAAAAATTGTCACTTCCCCTTTCCTTTTTTAAATTGGTAAATCTTACTTACAGAATTTTTATTTTATTATTTAATAAAGTTACTCCCTTAGTCTCATTTTGTAATATACATTTTCTATTCACTTAGTCAACATAAATCAGTCTTAATCTATTACTTTATATATCGAAATTTTATGAAATTTGAATTATTTTTTGCAGGCTTTGTAGCGGTTTTAATGTATTTTCTGAATATGTAAATTTTATTTTCTAAAACTAATTCGAGTATTGACAGGGATCAATTTGTTTTATCGTTGGTCAAACATCATAAACCGTAAAGTGTCTTACAATTCGGGATGGAGGGAGTATAATATATGAAGAAAGTGTGAATGTAAGGAATCCATCTAAAATGAGAAAGTTCCTAATTTTTAATTCCAAATTTCATTTTTATTCTGGTAAGATACGAAATTCCATTATAACAGGTTAACATGTAAGAGGATAGTCGTTTTCCAGTGTGAAATAAATACTTTCATATGCCCTCATCAGTGTGAACCGAATTAGACAATATGAGGGTGTATAAATTGGTCAAATAGATCTTTAACCAATTACACTTGATCATGTGTGCTAAATAAGCAGTCAAACCACAATTCAACTTGACTCTGACAACCGAACTTCAATACCATGTTAAAAAACTTAAAATCGAGAATTTCGTCCTAAAAAATTAACCTGATAGAAAAAATATTATAAAGTCTTATACTCCTCCTGTCCCGAAATAAATGTCATGCTTTTCCAAAATGGATGTCCCAAAATAATTGTCCTACTTTGAAACTTTCCTTATTTGGTAAACAAATCTATACAAAACAGTGTCAAACAGTGTAAAACAGTGCCAAACAATGTCGCTACAGTAACAAACAGTGTTGCTACAATGTCAAACAGTGTCGCTACAGTGTGAAGTTAACTTTATTCTGTGAAAGTCAAAGTAGGACAATTATTTCGGAATGGATGGAGTATAATGTTTTATATGTTTATGTTTGGGGTGGGATAAATATTTTTACATATTCTATCATTGATACATATAAAGTACCGTCTTTTAGTCATTGATTAGAATTATGAAAAGATTGAACTATATATATACATAGTTCAAGAAATTAAAATCAAAGAGGTTGGGGAAAATAACACTCTTCTTGTGATGACCATGTTGAGATCTCTAACAACAAGAAAAAGCCCACATGCCTATGAGCAATTGACAAGAGAGAATGAAGGGGCTGCACATGATCTGTTTGAGCCAAAGCTGAGCAGAACCACAAGCGTCCAACCTGCTAAAACTGGAGTCTTTAGCAGTTCTTCATCCAAGAGATCGACAGAATCTCCGGCGAAAGCTCAGGCCAAACAAGCGGAGAAGGCCAGCAAGATTCACCCGATTTTCAGCCTCTTCACCTCCGGCCAAAAGAGGAACAAGGGCGTGGGACCCACCGCCAGGCCGGAGTTCTCCAGGTATTTGGAGTATCTTAAGGAAGGTGGGTTTGGGGGTGCCTTAGACATGGCTGCTGCGAAATCAAGTATGTCTGCAAAATGAAAGATTTGATTAATTTCTTGGGTTTCTTTCCCGGCCGGGCTGTAAATTATTATTTCTATGTTCTTGATGATCTTGATGGTCGGCCGATGAGAGGTTGAGGGTTAAGGAATACCCGTATTTGTTTATGCCTTTCACCACCTTTTAATTACTGTAATTCATATAGTAATAATAATACATTCATCCTTCAAAAAGGGTAAATTAAAAAATGTTCTTTGTGTCTGTGTAATTGGGTGAAAATTCACTTTGATTGTCTCTGTTTTTCTTGAAAGAGATTGTCTCTGTTTATTACTCTACCTATAAGTTTCTATATAATAACACATAAATAAGTGTTGGAAAGTGCAGTTTTACATTTAACCGCTACTAAAATCTATTGAAATGTGAAAAGATCGAATTAGAAGTATAGATCATAGAAAAGTTTGATGCATACAGATTTTTGAGATTAAAATGAAGTTAAGTTTACAAATTGAAAGCTACTCTATATGAATTAAAGTTTGTTTTGTATTTGGATTGTAATAAACATGTAGTTTCATTTACAGTTTTACACTGAAGATTTATATCATTAGTATTGCTGTTCTAGTAAACATGTAGTTAATTTTGCTTGCATCTTGAGAAACAACTCAAAGATATTTGTCAATTTTAATGTTTCAAGTTCGTTGGTGCTCGGAAATACGGAGTACTATTTTTACAAGTTTACCATACTTCGTATTTTTTAAGGATGGAGTATTTGTTATCATCCTTAAAAAACATATTTTGTACTGGAGTAGTTTATATGGATATACCCGTATAGTATACATGTAAGAACAAATATATCTTTATTCTATTTTTCAGAACAAAAATACTTCAAAGTATATGTTAAAGTGCATATATACCTTTGAACTTTTAAAAAGTGCAAAACTATCATTCATGTTCTTATTAATTTAAGGAGCAAATTCACCCTTATTGACTTTAAATAGATAACTTAAATTTCAAACACACAAAAAATAAATTATAAATTCGAAATTTAAAAATAAAGATATATTATATGTTAAAATATTGACTCTTTAATTTTAAATTGCAAAATTATTATTTTTCCGTTGTAAATGAAGCACTTCAAATTCATTAATTTTAATTTTAGTCTTGTTGCGAAATTTTGAACACATTGATACCTTTTTTGAAATAACATTCTTTGATTTTGTTTAACCTTAATAAAATTAAATTCACTATTTTGTAATCTTGGACAATTTATCGCTATACAAAATATGTAATTTTTATGGTGCAAAGAATACAAAAAATCAATATTTTGTTTTACATTGCAACACATGTTAACACTTTTTTATAGTATTGTTTTGAAATAATATTTTATACTGAAAATATTAAATTATGATATACAAACAATAAAAGTGAGAGTTGAACACCACAAGTACAATTTTAAAATTTTAAAAATTTTAATTTCGAATTTTTAATTTGTTTTTGGTATTTTTTGAAATTTATTTTATCAATTTAAAGTCGATAAGGGTAAATTTGTTCTTTTATAAGAATATGAGGGATATTTTTGCATCTTTTTAAAAGTTCAAAGGTATATATGCACTTCTATATATAGTTCAGGGATATATTTGTTTGGAAAAATAGAACAAGAATATATTTGATCGCACACTCATAGTATAAGAGTATATTTGGACTTTTCTCTAGTTTATAACTTTATATTATTACGCTCTTCAATTCTTTACACTTACAGACTTACGGTGTGTTTGGATGGAGGGGCAAGGCGGAACTAGTGTAGGGCCTCAGGGCCGTGCCCCAAAAAGTTTTTATTATTGTTTGTGAAGAGAGTTAAATAAATTATTGAAACACACTGCGTTATATATATAAAGAGAAAATGATTAAAATGGTACATCAAGTTGTTTTGACGGGAGTAAGTAGTACTTCATCTTGCATTTGAAATTTTAAAGTACATGAACTTGTATTTTTATAGTCTATCAAATACATTTGCTCTGTCAGAACGTTAAAATAGGTGATCTGTCCAAACTATCTGTTTGTATTATGCAGTTGCAATCCAAATCATCAAAAAATTAATCTATAAACTTTATTTTTCTCCCGTCTACTCATTTTCACATTTGTTCATCATCTTATATTTTTCTCGTCTACTTTCCCTTCTCTCCGCTCCACATCTTATATTTCTCATGTCTGCTCTCTCTGCCATCTCGCCTGCTTCTTTTTTCTCTATTTTAGTTTCTTCTTCTCCACTTGCTATAATAAAAATGGACCGATAGCAAATAAAAGAAGAAGCTGGCAGGATAGCAGGGAGAGTAGCCGAGAGAGAAGGAGAGTAGCAGGGGCGGAGCTAGAGGGTGGGTCAACCTAGGTCCTGGTCCACCCCAAATTTGAAAAATGCTTTAATTTTTAAGTAAAATTATATGTAATTTTTTTCCAAATATATTCTTTGTATAGGTCTAGTGCGGGCTAGTGCCCTGGCTCTGCCCTTGGAGAGCAGACGAGAGAGATATAAGATGAAGAGCGGAGAGAACGAAGAGCAAACATGAGAAATATAAGATGAAGAACAAAGATGTAAACGAGTGAGCCGGAGGAAATTAGAGTTTATAGATTAGTTATTTGACGACTTGGACTGTAACGGTCTATTACAAACTGGTAGTTTGCCTAGGTCAATTATTTTAACGTTCTAACAGAGCAAATGTGATTAATTGACTTTTAAAGTGCAAGTTCGTGAATTTTGTAGTTTCAAGTGTAAGATGGAGTACTACTTACTCAACATGAAACAAGTTCATGTACCATTTTGACCATTTTCTCTCTATATATAAACAACACGATCTTTTTCAATTTCACATTTAACTGGCTTCGACATTCAATTTTTATTTGAAATTTGGTGGGAATAAACTTGACTTGATGAAGAACATGCTGAAAAACAACTTATCGACAAATTCTACCGGAAACCACTCCAAACAGTGAATTCCACACGGAGGAACCAGGCTATATATACAAAAAATCTACCTTTCGAATCCGGAGCTCCTGACCAGAACCGCCGTGCCAAATTCACTGTTTGGGGTGGTTCCCAATGATATTTTTTTATGAAACTTTTTGAGAATGTTATTCATCAAGTGTAGTTTATGCATACCAAATTTTAGCTCAAAATTCAATCGGTATGCTTTAGCGCCGCCCCTTACAATTGAAATTCAAAATGAGGTCAACAGACTGACCCACTGGTCAGCTGTCAGTCAAACCCCCACCCCCAATCATCCCACCCCCCAACCACCCCACCTGGAGCTGGTACCACCAGACGGTTCGGTGGCCGGAGAAACAGAGTCGTAACCCCAACCGGAAAGTAACATGTTGATTTGAAGCTCCACCTTCCACCACCCACCCCCGTCGAGCCCCGGCGACCCTGGCAGCATAGGTGAGATGTCGAAGAAGTGGCGATTCAACAGTAGCCGGAAGATAAGTAGCATCCGACAGGGTCAATTTCTCTTCTCTAGCGAATCCAAAGTGCTTTCAAACAGTGACTTCGGACAGACTTCAACACAATGAACTAGTAGAACCCAAACTAGGTAGCTTTGAATCCGCGCATCGCTTCTATCATTACAAACAAACTGCCTTTTACCAACGGTAATAAAATCATTGGTATAGATATAAAAAATGTTGGTATAGACATCAAATAGCTATACCAACGGAAATACTAGCTATTCCCATAGAAACTTTATTGTCAATATACGTTCCGTCGGTATAGACCAACACCAACATATTTCTTACCCGTGGGTATAGCTTATAAACTTGTACCAGCAAACCAATGACCGTTAGTAATTACATTTACCGTTAGTATAGACGTCTAACAGTCTTACATATCTTTTTGCTATAGCAACAGTTAATATACCATTGCTATTGACCTATTATATGAAGCAATAATAATTACTTGATATTTACAAACACAAACACTGCATATCCAAAATAAAATTATAATTTGCAATAAAAAAGCATCATTCAATGTATTTTTCATAATAACACTAGTCTTTTTTATATGGTGAAAAGCATTTATACTCAACCAATATAATATCAAGTACTAATATTGAATTTGAAATAGAACACTTTAAGCAGTTTGCTAATTCCCAAGTTCCATGTTTGATTTTCTTCATCCTTAGAACACTCGGAATGCAGAACTTGTTATATATCGAATCAAATCTTGAAAACCTACAAATTCACATCACTTTGAATTTATTTTCTGAATAAAAGTGAAACCTAAAATGAAGCATTTAACTAGTATAAATAGCATACCCCCATATATACACTGGATGGTGAAATAGAGGTCACTGAGTACCTTGGTAAAAATTTGCTGGAAAGCTAGCTTATTATATTAAAAGTGGACCTATGTACAAAAGAGGAAGTAGCTCATCTAAAAAGGTAATGCAGAAACGCTTATTATATAAGCCCTCAATGATAAGAAAAAAAAGACAGATATTATCATAATCTAGAATAGTTTAGGGAGTATTTTGTATTTTAGCATGACATGATGCAAATTTTCACTACGAAATTACGTTAGTTTCTAGTATAAGGCACCAAACTACAGCTAAGTGATTTGAAGAAGTTTCATCCTTTTTTTAAGAAAGAAGTAATTTGAAGAAGTTTCATCCACAAAATATTGAATGAAAGAAAGAAAGTAAACACAAAAAGAGAGGACTAAAAACAAAAGAAATAAAGCAAAAGAGGCACATCTTACAAGAAAGCACGTTTGGCGACCCTGGATAAAGACAGAGGTATCGCCCCAGACAAGCTATTGTTGTTCAACCTCTTGTTCATTAAATAACAAAAAAAAAGATAAACTTGAAGAAATCATTAAAAAGGAAAAGAAATGCAATTGAAAAATTATTATCCAGAACATACAAATACTGCAGATTGTTTAAGAGGTCCAGTGTTTCTGGCACGTGACCCGAAAACTCATTATTGGATAGATCCAAAGTCTGAAGATTGGGAAGTTTGCCTATCTCTTTTGGAAGATGGCCTGTATATTGTTGTTTTGTAACAACCTGCATGGCATGAAAGGTCGATATATCCACAGTTTTCACCATAAACAACAATTCCACCATATACCTACCAAAACAGGGCATTCTTACATTTGTTTGAGGTTCAATTTGTTGTCCAAAGCTTCTTTGTTCTTCCATGTTTAGTCGCAATTCTCCAATCCTAAAATTAAAACAATCCCTCATAGTGTTTTGTTAAATGAATAATAAACAGTGAGAAAGATTTTTATATAGATGACACATAAAGATGAATTAAAAAACTTGAAGAAAGGAATGAAAATAAAGAAAGGGAACATAAAAGACTATAAATTCAGATGCAATCTTAACAGAATTATTGTTAAAATTAAAGAGATATTCGATAGTTGACAAATAGCGATTGACTTAGGCAATTCAGCAAACTGTTTATGAACATGTTTATTTTTTATCAAATCCAATTGAAGGTCGTGAATCAATGTCAAAGTCACATGTTGAATTTAAGGAAGAACATGATAATGTGTGTGGCCCTTATTACATAAGCAGAGATTAATAAGATCATACAAATTAACATAGAGATACTCGTAACTAGCGAAATAGACGAGAAAAGCAAATAGAATATGTAACACCGTCCCCAAATGTATTTACCTTTAAGCGAATAATTTATTGAACCCTATGAAATTTTTGTGAATTTACGAGGTTGTGAATTTGTATAAAATTTTTCGCGTGAATAGTAAAATGCACGTGGGACCCACATCGGGAGTGGGGACCGCCCGATATTATCGGGACCACTTATTAGATTCATCTGTGCCTAGAAAATATGTATATGGTGGTGGATATCCTAATTGGTCCATAGTAATGGCACAGGGTTGACCGGTTGGTCAAACAAGGCCAAATTATCGGTATCGGCAAATTTATCAGATAACAGCCCAAAAAGGGATTTCGGGGACTTCTAAATTGAGGTTGGGGAATGCATATTGATTCTAGGGTCCCATAAGGATTGGGAACAAGTGTTATATTTTATTTGACCCGATAAAATAAAATATACTTAAAACAGTCCGGAAAATACAACTTTCGGGACCGATTGTACACTTCTGGACAAAAAGGGTTGACCTCCCAAATGGGTGGGGGCCAACCCACGAATTTAGACTCATTATTCAAGGCCTGAGCAGGTTGGTAGGAGAGGTGAGGTGGGAGAGGACTGATTTGAGATGTTTGGCATCAAAACAAATCATTGTGGCCCTCCTCTCTTTCACTCATTGCCCAAAAGGAGACAAAGGGACATTCCTACCCATCCCCCTCCTCACTAGTTCGGCCAGCAGCAAGGGAAAGGAGGAAATAACCTCTACAACTTCATCTTTCATAGCAAAATTCGAGCTAAGCTCAAACAAGAAAGTTGGGAGGAAGTTAAAGAAGGAAAAAGCTAGGAAAAGTGTGAAAATTAAGGTAATGACCTTATCATAACTTTTCCTTTGTTTTTCTTCTAGCATATAAGATATATATCATATGAAAGACCTTTAGTATTGTTCTACATGATTTAAGTGTGGAATAATGGGTTGGAAAGTGATTCTAAGTCCAAAAACGGACTTAGAAGCCAAATCGACCGGTTTGCCGGAAAATAACCTTTTATAGGTTATTTGTGTTGATATGGGTTTTGTGATGATAAAGCCTTGTTAGGAACTTGATTTAAAGTATTTTTGAGCTTCGCCGGAGTTTCGTCGGAGTTGGTCAAAGTTCGCCGGAGTTGGTCAAAGTTCGCCGGAATTAGTCAAAGTTCAATCGAGAAGCATAGAACGCGCTTAAGCTTAATTAAGGTGAGGATGACCGACTATGTTACTTATAATCTTTGGGTTAATCTCATGGGATTTCCTAAGTGAATACAAATGTGATGTGCATGGGTTGTTAATGGTAAGTAATGCCTAAATAAAACTACTATTGATTAGAAGTATAGTATGCATGATATACAAATTTATGAATAAATTGTGTATGTTTAGATGTTATGAATATGAGTGTATGATGATTGTACCAACCATGAATTTCATTTGAGATAGTATACTTTGATACCATGAAGAGAAGCCATGAAGGTATAAAAGTGATACTTGATATTAAGTCCAATCATGCATGAAGAAAGAATTATATTGAAATAAATAAATAACTAGCATTGAAATATTAGTTGGAAATGTTAGTTGAGAAATGGATGAGTTAGATCCTAAGAATTTGAATTATAAAGAATCGGTGATTATGAGCCGGGCTCAAGACCGATGTAGATAACGTTGATTATGAGCTGGGCTCTAGACCGTAGTAGATGACGGTGATTATGAGCTGGGCTCTAGACCGTAGTAGATGACGGTGATTATGAGCTGGGCTCTAGACCGTAGTAGATGACGGTGATTATGAGCTGGGTTCTAGACCGTAGTAGATGACGGTGATTATGAGCGGGGCTCTAGACCGTAGTAGATAACGGTGATTATGAGTTGGGCTCTAGACCGTAGTAAATAATGATGAAATGATACTAAATGAACGGATTAACTATAATGTAATGATGCTCTAGATTGAGGGCCTTAGAGATTTAAACTTTGATTATACTTAGTATAGTTGTCATTGTACTTGTCAAATGCTTCCAAGTACTGACCTCCCCTTCACGGGGGAGGCCACCTCACAGTTTCAGGTAGAACTTGAAGGTTGCTACTACCAGCCACTGTTCGGGAAGTTTCTGAGAAGAAGACTTGGTTCGTGCTTCTTCCGTTCTCGTTTTGGAAACAATATGAATAATGCTCATGGATAATATTTTCTGAATAATTACTTTGGGGGCTTGCATGCCTAATTATGCCAAGTGTGGCTTGAACACTTGTATCAATTGTTTCCGCTGCTTTAATAAATGTTTTACATTATGTTTGTTTATGGATGTACTATGTGTGAATGGTATTCAAGACGCCTTGTATAGTATGGATGAGTCGGACTGCGGTTGACTATTCGTACTGTACGGCGGGTTGTTGACGTGTCCGGGTAGGTCCGGGGCGTGACAATTTAAATGGTATCAGAGCCTTAGTCCGTAAACATCATAATGAAGCTTCAAAATTTCTTTTTGAAAATGAATTTGAAAACCATGAGCATAAGGTTTTGTACTTATAGAACTTTTGGTACTTGAGTTGCAATGCCTCTAATTGTTAAGATGGTACCCTTAACAATTGGTATGGCGGTGATTTGAGCCAAAGGATGTCTTTAAGTACCTATCCGTCATTTGACATTCGATACGAGTCTAATGACTCATTCTAATTTCTTTCAGAAATGGAACCAGTTGGAAGGATCACTAGAAGGAACCCGTTGGGCCGTGCACCGGGTGAGTCCGAGCGCGGTAGCCGGGGGTCCTCTAGGGGATCAAGAGGAAGGGGCCATGGAGGCCAACGTCAAACCGTGAGCGATGGCCACGTCGATACCGAAAGTGAGACCTATTGGTCCTATGAGGACTCAACCTACCAGCCGGGGACTGAGCCAGTTGAGACCCCTTACGAAGAGAATGATGATGATGTGAGTGATGAGGAGGAAAGTGACTCCTTGGCCAGGATCGAAGCGCTGCTCCAACAGTATCATCGGGAGCGCGAAGAAAGGAGGGCACGCCGAAAGCACCGTGCAGGGCAACCTTCGGGCGGGGCTCCAAGAGGGAGGAGCTATTGCGATTCGAGAACCCATGTGGAAGCGCATGGAAGTCGGGGCGAAGGAGGTCCAGCCATAAGGATCTCCAAATACATCAAAGAGGCGAGGGACTTAGGGAGCAAACCGTTCGATGGGACGGGAGACATCTCGGTTGCCGCACAGTGGATCAAGAGGCTGAACGAGGCAGCCCTTGACATGCAGCTCACCCCCGATTTTAAACTGAGAATCGCGGTAAGGTTACTCGAAGGGTTGGCATCCAAATGGTGGGATGGAACCAAGGGTAAGTATGGCGGAACTGTTACATGGGAGGATTTTCGACAAGAATTCTTTGCCTTGTACTACTCTGACTTCGAAGTAAACGCCAAGGTGAGGAAATACACTCTCCTAACCCAAGGCGGTAACATGACGGTGAAAGAACTTGGGAACAAGTTCAGAGACCTTGCTGATCACATACCGGAGTATGCTTGTGATGAAAACCGAATGGTGAATCATTTTTGGGAGGCTTTGGACTTGGAGATACGTGACAGGGCAACTCAATTGCCCAATATGACTTTCAGCCAAGTGGTTGCCCAAGGGTTGAAGGGAGAAAAGCAATGGGAGGAGAGGAAGAAGAGAGATGCCGAAGAGGCTAAGAAAAGAAAGTGGGAAAGCCATGGTCCCCAAGGTCCCAACAAGAAGGGGAACCATGGGGGAGGTGGATCGTTCAGGGCACCGGCAGCACCATCCAAGGGAAACCCGGCCACGAGCGGGCACTACTCGGGCTCACAAGCCCCAATGACGCCCAGGTGCAGGAATTGCAACAGGAACCACACCGGTAAGTGTCGTGATCCACCACGGTGCTACCAATGCGGGAGTACAGGGCATATTAAGCCAAACTGCCCTCAACTTGGTGGGAACCGGGGGTCAGGATCAAGCGGCGCTACCACGACAAGTAGGAACCGGGCCGGAGCATCTCATGCTAGCGTGGGCCAGGGGGAGCGAGCACGAGCAATGCGCCGTCCGTGAATCAAGGAAGAACTCAAGCTAGAGTTTATGCTATGACGGAGGCGGATGCACGTGCCAACCCGGACTCCGTTGCGGGTAATTCCTTAAACTCATGTATTAATTTTCGTAAACAATAGGAGTGTGGAACTTGTAAAATTATAACCCCGACGAGTTTAGTCGGGTTTGAAGGGAAAAAGGGAGGAGAATCCTCGCCCTGGGTGAAAACCGCCCGGCTTTGACGAAAGCCGCCCGGCTTTTGTCTTGATTTAATTGGGATAATACTACGGCAACGAATGCCGGCCGGCTTCCACTGAGAACCGCCCGACTTTCGTCAAGATTAAATCAAAGAAAATTCTCGCAACCAAAAACCGGCCGGCTTTTGGTGAAAACCGGACGGCTTTCGTAAACACCTCACCTGGAAAATTTCTCGCAGCTGAAAGCCGCCCGGCTTTCATGGAAGCCGCCCGGCTTTCATGGAAGCCGCCCGGCTTTCGTTAAGCCTGGGGATTCCTGCGTTGCTGAAACCCGGCCGGGTTTCGTAGAAACCGGCCGACTTCGAAACCATTCCCTGAATAAAAACTACGGCGACGAAAGCCGCCCGACTTTCGTGATTAAATACTTGGAATTATTCTCGCAGTCGAAAACCGGCCGGATTTCGTGAAAAGCGGCCGGCTTTCACCTGGATTGGTCCTAAAACGGTCCTAAAGTTTAGAAACCGGGAAATTTCGGAAGGGTATCGAACGGACCCCACCCGAAATACAACCAACATACTCTACGACTTAAGAAACGAACCTATTAATTAGATAGTGTGTCTTACATTACTTATGAATGTAGGAACACTAAAGATAAACGGGAGAGACGCAAGAATCCTTATTGATACCGGGGCGCAACGATCATTTGTGAGTGAGGCGTTCGCCAGCGGATTCAACGGACCACTTGTACCGATGACTCAAACCCTATTGGTGTCCACGCCTTTAGGGGATGATATCGAAAGAGATAGCCACTATCCATCGTGTGAGGTTGAAGTGGAGGGCCAAACCTTGACGTGTGACTTCGTACCGCTGAGTATGATCGAGTTCGATGCAATTCTAGGAATGGATTGGCTTGAGGAACATCATGCTAGGGTCGATTGCTACACTAAGGTTCTTGAACTCGAAGGCGGCGAAGGGTTGACCTTACGATTCGAGGGAGATAGAGGCAAATCAAACTGTTGTATCATATCCGCCGTGAGAGCAAGGAATATGATGAGAAAGGGGTGCCAGAATATCAAAATAAACAATAAAAGAAATTCGATCATTTATATAATCTCTTGATCCTCCTCTTATGTGTTCGCCGGCTAAGAGGATCTTCCGCCTCCATAACTCAATTCCGACGTCTTAGCCCGATCGGCAGCATCTACAGTTTGACGGTTGATTTGTGTCGATGGCCTGGGGACAGGTCCGGTGGGCCAGTGGTGCGTTGGCGCTGGGTGGCGGCGGTCGTCTCTCAGTCGCGCGAGTCGTCGCCTTTGACCATCATCGTTCAACGTTTGTCCGACATCCGTCCTTCGAGGCTTCGTCGTTCCAGAGCACTGGTTCCCGTTTCTAAGTCGATCAGCGGAGCAGACAATGCAGGTTTCAAGTTGGATTCTTTTCAATTTTCTATCTTGAATGTTAAACGCCACTTTCTATTAGGATTGATTTCAGTTTTTTAGCTATATACAGATATACTTACGGAAGTTACGGTTTTAATAATAATAATAATTGTTGGAATATTTAAGAACTATACCAACGGGTATAATTTTGGGGTAGGAATTGTATATTATTTACCAACAATGTTAGAATAATGCGGATATTGACATTGTAATAAGCATCAGACTAGATTGACCGTAGGTATAAGTAGGCTTTACGAACAATAATCACCTGTTGGTATAAACTACCGCTGGTAATTGGCAATTTGTTTGTAGTGTATCCGTCCTCACCAGGGTACCAGCCTCTGCAAGTCTCTAGTCATCATCTATGGAAAAAACCCACTTTCCATTGTCGGAGTACCTCAAATTAAACGACACATCCATCTATTACCTCCGGTTAGAAAATCCCTTTATTGTCACCGGACCACCACCACAATCCTCGTCACTGTACGTGTCATCCCTCCACACGCAGTGACCCCGGCCAGCTGGTTAATAGTGTTGGCCGGTGCTTCCAGGAGCTGATCCCTTCGGTTCAAATTGTACGTACGCCCTCGGAATGTTAGCAGCAAGTTCTAGCAGTCCTCCGCCATAACTGAAAAATTCCAATTCCACAGCTCAAACATCATCCGCGCCTTGAACAACCCTGGACCACAAACGTTGTCTTCTCCAGCTAATCACCATGAACCCGCCTTCAAAGATATCCATTGCACACCAGACCATCCACCGTCACCTTTCCGTCACCGAGTCTTCCCTCCCACGGCCGTCAATTAGTGACGGCTATATGTCAAGCAGACCCGGTAATCCATTCCAGCTACGGCCCAAAAGCTCTCAAACGAAGAAGCATAACAGTTTGAAACCAATTCTCAAGTTTAACATATCTTGAAGCATGTGTTACTCGATCAAAATATGTTAATATTCCAATCCATTATTAATTGTTATGGTATGTGTTGTTGCTAGTCACTACATATAATAAACATATTCCATTGACATTGGTTTTTGAACTAAGTAATACTCTATGTAATTAAGATTGTTGATGAATCCATATTTACCATAAATTTATAAGAAAATAGCTAAATTGACGTGCTAGCGAGGCTTAATTTAGTAGGAGGTATAACTTGTACATGTCGCTTGTTCTTAGTCTTCTTTTAATTTTTTGCAACCATTTTATTTACCTATTGTTTAGCATATTATTAGTATTATCAATTAAGATGATAAATTTATGAATTCTTTTTTTTGTACTTCAATAGATGTGATTGTGTTTTTGACAACCAACGTGGTCAATAATTATTTGAAAATGAATTTGGGACATATGTTGTAACACCGTCCCCAAGCATATTTACTTTTAGTAAATTATGTAATAAACCTTGAAGGATGATTTATGAATTTGCGTAATTGTAAATTTTTATTATTTCTTTTACGTGAATAGTAAGTTGCATGTGGGGCCCACGCCCGGACCAGGGGGGTCGCCCGATAATTCCCGAACCACATATTATATTCATCTTGGTCTAGATGACACCTACATAGAGGTGGATATTTTATTTGGGCCATAAGGAAGGCATAGAGTTGACCGGTCGGTCAAACGGGGCCCAATTACCGGTATTGGTAATTTAGCGGATAACAGCCCGAAATGAGTTTCGGAGACTCCTAAATTAATGTTGGGGAATGTACATCTATTTTAAAGGCCCATAATTATTGAGAACGCGTGATATATTTTATTTGGTCCGATAAAATAAAATATGATTAAAACGGGCCGAGAAATACAACTTTCGGGACCGATTGTACACACCGGGACATAATGGGATGACCTCCCACATTAGTGGGGGCCACCCCACGTCCTCATGTGTCCTAGTTGACTAAGGGAAGGCTAGAAGGGACATGAAATGAGGGGTGTGCGGACTGAATTGATGAGGGATGGCCAAAGGCACCATCACACCTCCTAAGGCCCTACTCATGCATTATTTTGATGCTTGATTGAGTAGAGTGGCCTTCCACCTCTCTTGCACCATCTGAACAACCCAAGAGGAGAAAGACTCCAGGAAAGTCTCTCAACATACCTGCAGTTGGAGAGAGCAACAAGGAGGATAATCCATAGAGGAAAAAGCTAAGCCTTGAGGTAAGAACATGTATGGTTCTATTAACTAGTTTTATCATGTATGATTTTTAAGAAATCATATGGAGGATTAAACATGATGTTCTACACGTTTATAAGTGTAGAATATTGATATAAAGTGGGGGTACTTAACTTAGAAAAGTTGGTGAATCGATAGGAGTCGAAATCGCCGGAAACCGCCACTTCAAAGGAGCTAGTCGTAGTTGCAGACCCCGAAAGCCGCCCGGCTTTCGTGAAAGCCGCCCGGCTTTCGTGAAAGCCGCCCGGCTTTGGCCCAGAAATCCAACTTCTCACTTTCAATCGGCCTAGAACGGGGATTGATCGAGGGGCTTAACAAAGGCAACTATTGTAGCACATCACGAGGTGAGGATGGCTGACTATATTGCTTATAATTAGTGAGTTAATTTAATAAGATTGCCTAAAGTAATTAGATGGGATTTTCATGGATTATTAATGACTAATAATGCCTAAATGAAAATGATATTGATATGAGTAAGTGAAGCGTGATATACAAATTTAGAATAATTGTGTATGATTATGTGAAATAAATGGAACGACATATTAATGGAATTACTATGATGACATTGTGATGAAATATACTTTACGCCATGTATGAAATTCATGAACGGAGTAAAGTGATATTTTTGATATTGAGATCAAACTATACTTGTGTTGGGAAATCAATTGAAAGGAAAAGTCAATTGGAAAAATAGGAACTTGGCATGTTCTAAGATTATCCAATTAGTATCAAAATACTAGTCGGGGATTTAATATAAATAAATGATGAAACAAATCCTAAGAGGTAGGATTGTGAGTAGATATGCCTTAAGTAGTCTCAAGAGATACCTTAAGGTTGAATTGTGTGAACACTAATGTGTGATAGGGGTAGGCCTAAAGGCTACCTACGGAAATTGATTCTAGGCATCGGAATTGCTTGAGAATTTAATTATGAAAATAATTAGAGTTGGACTCTAGGATGACATGGAAATGTAGTTGGGCCGAGCCCATGCCATGTAATATGATTAGCATGGAAACGTAGTTGGGCCGAGCCCTTGCCATGTATATGTGATCTCCGTGGAAACGTAGTTGGGCCGAGCCCTTGCCACGAAGTTATGGTTGGTATGGAGACGTAGTTGGGCCGAGCCCTTGCCATACAAATTTTGATATCTTATATAGAGCTAGAGGATTGTATAGAAATGTAGTTGGGCCGAGCCCATGCTATACAATCGGGGCTCGATGGGACCCCACGGGGTTATCGTGACTTGCGGTCACGGGGGAAATGGAAGCGATGAATTCTAAATGAATATAGGCCCACGGGCCGACTACTTGACTCTATATAAAGTAAGTACAGTTAAAAGAAAATGCGTAACCGAGGGTTATGGCCTATAACATAATAGTACCCTAAGATGAGGGTCTTAGAAATTAAAACATCAATTATACTTAGTATAGTTGCTATTGTACTTGTCAAATATTTCTAAGTACTGACCTCCCCTTCACGGGGGAGGCCACCTCACAGTTTCAGGTAGGACTTGAAGGCTGCTGCCACCTCCCGTTGCTTCGGGAAGATCCAAGGAAGAAGACGTGATTCGTGCTTCTCCCGTTTCTGTTTTGAAAACAACTTAAATAATGCTCATGGATATTGTTTTTTGAATAATTATTTGGGGGCTTGTACGCCCATGTTTGCCAAGGTGTGGCACAAACACGTACGTTAAATGTTTCCGCTGCTATAAATGTTTATTTTACATTATGT